AACTGAATCCCTCCAGTGGAATTATAAACCCCCAGGAAGGATATCTGAATCCCTCCAGTGGAATTATAAACCCCTAGGAAGGATAACTGAATCCCTCCAGTGGAATTATAACCCCCCAGGAAGGACACCTGAATCCCTCCAGTGGAATGTAATTCACCCTGCGTAAAGTTTTGAATTGTAAAAAGCATTTTTTCAAACCCCTCCAGTGAAAAAGAATTCCCTCCGGTGGTCTCCAGTGGAGTCAAAATCTTACTACGAACTTCCGTGACTCCCCTTCTATTCCAATTTTCGTTTCTAATTATCCTAGATATAAGGAATATTAAATTTTCAAAACACTTGTTTTCAGTGTTGAAGGAACATTTAGCAAAGTACTACACTGTGCCCTCCAGAGGGAGTAATTATTTTTTAGCTACAGGGCTGTTCTATATAACGTTGGAAAGCCATGGAGAAATGCAATTTAATGGTCCCATTCGCTTTGTCAAATTTTGACACAGGGTGTCTCAAAAATGTCAAAACTACAGAATAAATTCGAATTTTCGAAGAACTCAGCGAATCATCCACAGCTGAGCTGAAAACTTTAAAATGGTGGAAATCGAAATTGCAGCTTGATCTCCTCTTTTTCTTAATCTCCAGATTAAATGCTGGTTCTCCAGATTAATTAACTGATCGGGATTAAGGATATCCCATTCTAAAGTTTTCAGCTCTGATCGCATATTTTAAACAAAAATCAGTGCCAGATTAGAAATGTTTTTAGTAAATGTCTGCAACATTCCATTATCAGAAAGTGAAAAATACGACATTTGATGAATTCTTCAAATGTATGGCTTATTTAGGGTTTAACTGTATTTGCTTTTCATTTTCTTTACAGGGTGCGAAAAAAAGTGAAATCTCAAAAAACATATTTTTTAGGGAACAAAATCAGCAAATAGTTTTTCGCACCAGAAGGTGCAATTAACGTATCTGTTTTATTCAGCTAAAAAAACAACCTTAAACTTTTCCCCTTTGATTACATTTAAATTCTAGCAACGTATAAAGCATAATGAGCCTAATCTCATCCCCCTTGAATAAAAAAATTAGGATTGTTAATTTTTATTTATTTTTATCCTTGTAAGTAATGTTTAGGGTTTGAAGACGCTGTCAACTCAAGAATTAGCGGAGAACTTCAAGGTGTGTATTTACTTTATAGATCATTTTAAAGGAAGTGTTTGGAAAAATAAAAACGGGTTTTGGCTGAACCCTAATTGAATTCAATCTCGATCGCTACTAACTTTACTTCTATCTGTTGCACCTTTAACGAGAAAATGTTTAAAAACGTTTAATAACGTATAGCCTGTTTAAATTCGCTTAGTTGCTTTGTTCCACTCAAACCGTTAATAGATTAAAAAATAATTATTTAAATATTACAATCTATAAATGTCGGCTTCAATTTGGGGCATTCGAATGCAGTAAATATTTCTTATATTTTTTATTTTGTTTATAAATAAATTTTTGGTTAAAAACTTGTTTTCATGCATGCTGCAGCTTGATTTTCGTACATATCTAAGAAAACTTAAAAATTTCGTCTTCGTCATAAAAAATCCTCGAAATTTCAGGAATGAATTAAATTAAATGTAACACTCGGATCATCAAAAAATATTATGAAATATGAAATACGTTCGAAAGCCCCGAATAGCTAATAGGGTATTTAGTTTAACCTGAAAATAATCAAATAAGTGAACGGTTCCTTTAAATGGCAAACCTACTTTTTATACATATTGTAAAAAGTATATATATTATGTCATGGAAATTCACTGACGAAAGTTAAATTGTTTTTTAAGTCGTAGATTATGTTTAAAAGAAGTCTATTAAATAAAAAACTTTATTGATTTTGGTTAAATATTCAATAAACTAAAAATGGGACAAACTAAGCATTTTTTGAGCACATTTTAATAAAATTTCGGTATTTAGAAAATCATAGTTTTGATTTTCTCGATTTAAATCATTATTTATCAATCGTTGTTGAAAAATTATTTAAACGAAAGACGACATTTCAGAAGTGGAAAGCGACCTTCCAGATGATATTAGAGATGATGCTCTCCGAGTTTTCAGGCTGTCTGTTGCAAACAAAAATACAATTAAGGTCAGAATATTCTAAAATTATAAAAAACATCCTCAGAAATGTTTCTGGGTCATGCAAACAAATAATTGACCACAAAGACGCTATAATAAAATAGATTTACAGGTTTTAGATTTACGAGGTAAATATTAGGTTTTAGATTTACGAGGTAAATATTAGGTTTTACAAAAAAAGATTTTAGATACTTCTAGACTTTTCAGCCACGTACTTTTTTTAAGTTCAATAAATCCAATTTCTTTTATTTCCTTATGCACAGTCAGGGGCGTACGAGGGGGAGCGGAAGTATAAACCCCTAGGAAGGATATCTGAATCCCTCCAGTGGAATTATAAACCCCTAGGAAGGATANACTTTTAAATCTCTCTTTTGCCCTTGACTAAAAAAGTTTCATTAAAAAAGCTTTAATCAATACTGCCTTCAGTGTAAATATATATTTGATATAATTATTTATAATTATACAATATGTATCGTTTCTATGAAAATATAGAAACGTTTGCGTCTCTATTTTTCACCCATTGAAGCTTGCACCACAGTATTAATTAGTGTATAATGAGTCCACTTAAATAATTTATTACTTCTTGTGCCCCTGTGCATAGGACAGGAACATCAGATAGATGTCTTATAAGTATCATTCAACGCCTGAGATTCTCAGGTTTCATCCTATACCCCCTTTTATTTTTCCTTAACAGTCCCTTTAAGTGAGTGTTTTATTAAAAAATCTGGAGAAATTCATTTTTTATGTTAAAACAGAGAAGACAAATAATGAATAATATTGATAAGAAATGAAAATATTAAGGACAGCATAGAAAAGGTTCAGAAAGAAGCTCTTTCTGTAATAGAAACAAGATTTAAAGGACAACGGTTTAAGGTAAAATAAATGTCATATTCTTACAATACAAGGTGTTTCCATGATTGATATTCCGAAAAGTAGATGTTTTTTATTTACAGAAGTAATTTCAATATTTCCTTTGTAAATAATTTAGTACTCCAATAATCTATAAACGTAAAATTTACGATATAATTAGTTTGTTTTTTAAATAATATGGCGACAAGTTTAGGATTCCAAAATATCTCTTTCCATATTTCTTATGTATTCACCTTTCCCTTTAAAGGGAGTGTCTTGCTAGACTTGGTAGTTGAGCTGAGAATGCAGTATTATGGAGACATATTTGAGAAATCATTTGAGAATTATAAGACGTTTGTACGACGCAAAATCATTCAGAAAGAGTGAAAAGTCAATCATCAAAATCCAACTAGCCAGTCAGGCTTGCAGGGCCACAACCTGACAAGTGACATACAGGCGTGCTGCACCGCTACAAGCCAAACAGGCTTGCCGCGACCGGCATATTTTTGCGCCGCATTCTCAGTTCAACTACCATGTCTAGTCAGACACTCCCTTTAATTTTATTGTTTTAATTTTTTAAACTATTATCTTTTTCCAGGGGTTTATTAAGTTTGACTATGACACGAGCGTGATATCCATCAACGTGAACAAGTTCGGGAACGGAAACGCCCAGTTCTCTGCTGGGGTGGGCACAAAGAAGATGGTGTGTCCGGACCCATTCATGGGTCGACTCTCAGATCCAAACATGAATAGATAATCTCCCAGTTCGGAGCAGAACCATAATCCAGAAATTCCTGGAGTACAGCCATAACCCAGATAATCCTGGAGTACAAACCTAATCCGGATAATCCTGGAGTACAACTATGAACCAGATAATCCTGGAGTATAACCATCAATCCAGATAATTCCGGAGTACATCCATAATCCAGATAATCCTGGATTACATCCATTATCCAGATAATCCTGGAGTACATCCATAATCCAGACAACCCTGTTGTACATCCATTAGTCCAGTGACTATAAACATTTAACTTACACTTACATACACATAATTACTTTCTAATCCTTGAAATAGTGAATTAAGTATTTTAGTTAAAAAAGGAGAGGGTGCGGTGTTTTTCATTTAGGGTTTCAACAACATCCGGCAGCTCAAAGATTTTTATTTGCATTAAACCCAAGGTTGTATGGTAAGGTTGGTTACTCCCCTAAGAATAGTGTACCAGGCAAGGTTTCGTAATAAGGGTGGTTACTCTCAGTGCGCTCCAATTACAATGAACGGAAAATGTCGTCTCCTAAGATTGACAGATTAAAAAAACCTAAAATGACGTCACTGATTATAGAGGCAAGAGTGACCTCACATGAGGTTTTTAATCTATCTATCTTAGGAGACGACATTTTCCGTACATTGGAGTGGATCGAAAGTAACCAACCTTATTACACAACCTTGATCTATAAAAATAATATCTTTATAATTCGTAATTCTCTTCAATATTTAATTCCAAGCTTTTGCCGTATTTCTTAAACATGAATCCTGAAAAAAATGAGGATATATAAAATTTATTGCCAATTGCCAATTATGCTATAAGAGCAATCAATTCTCTAAAGTTCGTTATTTAATTTCCCATTTAATTCTGTGTCATTAATAATCATTATCTTTTATTTAGTGTTAAAGTTCCTGGAATATATGTTTCTTTTATAACTGCCTAACCTTTTTTATCAATATTGCTAATGTACTAACTGTGCTAATGTGATTTATGTGAAAAAATATATATTTATAAAGTTGTAAATATATTTAATTCCAACTAATGATTTGGGTCTAACTAGTCTAACCCATGTGAACTTAATAATTATTTAAATGTATATTTAAACGAACATCTCACATCAGCTACAGCTGGTGTCCCACGAAACATGACAGTTGGAAGACGAATTGAAGGATGTCTTTAATCTTTAAAATAACTAGTGGTATTTATTCGTAAACCTAAAGAGAAGTAAAATTCTAAAGTTAATCACAAATAAAACCTAAACTTGGTATTTCTAAAATGTTGTCTGCGTTTTCTGTGCTCTCAATATTGCCGAAGATACATGAATTTTGTTAAGATTTTGACAATTTTGGTTTTATTTAACAAAAATCAAATCTGATTTAAATTCTAATATATCTCCTGTAATATTTACAGCACAAAATAGGCAGACCTGCATTTTGAAAAGGCTAGGACATGCTGAAAGTAGGTTAAGACGATTAAATATTACAAATAAATTTTAAGTTTAAAGACGACTTTCAAGCTGCCTTGCATACTGTCATATTTCGGTGGGACATCCTGTAGTTAAAATTTTTAGAATATTTATAGATATTTAGTACCGGGTGGATAAAAATCTGAATAAAACTAATTATAGGTCAGATAAAACTGAAATAGCATAACTTCCTAAAAGATAACTGCAATTACAGTACTTGAGTTAAGTATTCCTTATGAACGATAACAAAAACATGAACAAAAAATAATGCTTTAATGTTTTTAAGCTATTCTAGATTTCAATGAACAGAAATGAAAAGGCGTTGTAGATTGGTCATATCCTTCCAAAATTTTTAAAAATATCCTTAAAAACTGTTAAAAAATATCCTTAAAAATGTTATAATATATCCTTCAAAAATATTATAAAATATCCTCAAAAATGTTATAAAATAAGAGCATGGCATTTCACTGTATAATAAATTATGTTCTAAGACTGAGTTAAATTATTACCAATATTTACCAAATTTATAAATTCCTTAAGATCCATCGAGATCAATTGCAGAGTATTTTATATAAAATTTGTATAGTTTTTATGCAAATGTATATTATATATATACATCTAACTTGTGACAATTAGTAATAATTACTAATAAATATAATTTAAGTTTTATAATTTATTAAGTCACTAAAAATACAACATTAACATTTCTATGTATAACAATATTAAAGTCCTAGAATATATACAAATCTACATTTAAAAAGTAATTAACCATTTAATATGTTTTGTGAAAAATCAGTTCACATAAAAAAATAGATTACTTGATATTTAATGTATTTTAAAATATTTAATACTTATGAATGAATTTTTCATTTAAAAAATGATTTTTTAATCTTTGGATTTCCAGTGAAAAAAGGTAGATTTCTTTTGCGAGTTTTAAAAAAACCACACATTAATTCAACGTTTAATTCTTGGAAGACACTTATGGTAGTGCAGATTGAACAGTTAAAATGTTAGCCCAGAAGTTTGTTTAACTATCTGCTGCAGAACGTGAATTCATGATCTACGAACTAAACCTTTAATAGCACAGATCCGTCTGATCAGCACAGCTAGCTCAGCAGTCTACCTCAGAGTTATTACGTCACTTCTTGCAAGCTAAAATCTGCAAGTGGACGTAAATATATATTAGCCAAGAGTTAAATTTTTAACGGCCGGAGCAATCCTGCAATGTGCTGAGAATAAACACGGAAAACTGTCTCCTTCAGTTGATATCCATGAATCAGGGCTGTTTTTCTCCTCCTCCTCATCCTACTCCATCTCTCTCCTCCTTAGTTCTGATAAAATCAAAATCAGTGAGCTAAATCAATCTCCGGGTGCATGGTTTGGTTTGGTTGTATCTGCAGCAGGATATAGTTCCTGCAACCTGATCTTCAACTGTGTTCTTCCAGAAGAGCTTCATCGTCTTCAACAAATGAGTTTCCGAAGATTCCGTGAAAACCTTCTTTTCGATTCTTTCTCGTGTCAACTAGAATACAAGGATCAACCTAAACAAATAAAAAAGTTATTAGAATTAGTGATAAGAACTGGGTCTTAAAAAGCTAGTAATTTAAAGGAAAAAAATCAGGGAAAGTTGTTAAATACAGGGGGCAATATAATTCCTTTTTCAATCCCATTTGGGATTGACAAATTTGAAAGAAATGGGGGCAAATACTTTTATTGGGGGCAAATTTTTTTTATATGATAATTAAAAATAAAATTGGGGGCATTTTTTTTAAAAATTGGGGGCATTTTTTTTTCAAATTGGGGGCAATGGGGCTAATGTGCTAGTGGAATTTGAAAAAAAAATTTTAACTGGGGGCATTTTTTTTAAAAATTGGGGGCATTTTTTTTCAAAATTAGGGGCAAAAAATTATTTTGGGATCGAGAAAATCAGCTTTTTTGGGAATTATATTGCCCCCTGGTTAAATAAGCTTTTTTAGCCTTTTTTTTGGAACAACATTGGTCAAATACGGGATCCCACGGATCATATAAACGGCTCTGTAACATCTCGCCATATAACATTTCGCCATAGAAAAACTCGCCTATGTAACATTTCTCCATATAACAACTAGCCTATATATAAATTTTTAAATTAAATTGTAGTGTAAATGAAATTATTCCAGAAAATCCACGAATCAAAAACCAAAAATCCGCAAATACAATAATTACAACAATGTCGGGAGTACTGCACGCAGCAGCGGGAGAAACCATCTTTGGTTCCTATACTGAATTTAAATCTATTTTTATATGTATCTATGTATTTATCAATTTAACAATGTTTCATAGTTTTATAAATTACATATACTTACTACTAAACTACTAATAAACTAATATTTTCTACTAAATAAAATCAATTATTTTGATTTTTGTTTACATATGGCGAGCTGTTATATAGGCGAGTTGTTATATCTCGAAATGTTATATGGCAGGTTGTTATATGGCGAAATGTTACTAAGGCTAGTTATTTGGCGAAATGTTATATGGCGAGATGTTACTAACCCATATAAACTAAAAACCCACCTGGTCATCGTGTCTTCCATATGCATTCTCAACAATCCTCTCAATAGATAGAACCGTCTGCAGGAAGAGGTGAAGCGCCCTGAATTATAGTCATTATATTATTGTATTATCATTATTAAAACCCTTTTTTTTCAAAGAAATAAATTATTTGTTTCGCGGTAAACATAATTTCGTCAATTTTAGATTCTGTAAGGTTTTTAGGAAAACTTGTTAAAATTTTCAATTTTCAGAAAATTTCGACTTTAAACCTGTTAGAGAGGAGTTGCCTATCAACCAGGACCTGGGATAACCAGGAGGTCAGCTGCTCTGCTCGGCCCAGCGGGTTGTACAGGTAGAACAATGGGCGCACAGGTAGACTGGGTATACTCACATACGGATGTTGAGACTAAAAAATGGTTGAAGGTCAATTCTCTTAGTTATTATATTAGAAAAATAGGGGTTATTCTTTCCAGTTTGGACAGGGACAGGAGAGGGGGATTGATTATTATTGTACCTTGAGAATGCTTGCTAGTGTATAGAAGCTGGAGATGGTCCTTGTGGTAGTGCTTCTCTTCTGGGAGAAGGCGTAGTGTGAGGTAGATAGCTTAACATTAAACAGAGATGGTTCACCATCAAGAGGTTCTATACGGAGCACTGTACGAGACTGCTTTAACCCTCCATCCGGGGATAATCTATACAAAAACCATTATAAAGTAACTCAAAATGGCTCATTTTTAACTTATTTTCATTAAAAAGAAAGCTGTATAAATCTATATTGGGTGGTAACTATGAGGTAAAATAAAATTTGCGCGTGTATCAGGACAAGCCTATACGCAAGCAGTGCATCTACACAACGCGCACTATCTGCGCACTAAGGGGGTATTTTTATTTAAATTTAGAAAAATGTTACCTTCCATCAGGGATATCAACTTGAACACAGACCCCCATAGCGAGGGTGTTCTCCTCCAGGATATCCAGGTTTGTGCTTACGGAGGTCATAGTGTTGTTGAGAGACCTCGTCGAGGTCTGAGAGCTCGTGGTCGAGGAAATCATGCTAGAGCTGAGGCTGCCACTCATGCTGCTCCCAACGGAGTCCAATCGTCGACGATTAACCATGTCTGGAGAAAAAATATTATTAGTTTCTTGTATTTTTTGTCCAAGAAGCTTGCTTACCATTCTGTAGTGAAATAACTAGCAAATAAAAAAAATTAAATTTATTAAAGTCTTTATCCAACTCATCCGACCACAAAAATTGTTTTTAATACGGAGTTGTACTTGGAGGTTAGAGTTGTTAAATGCAAACTAGCTAGAGATAAAAAAAAATAACTATACATAAAATATATATTATTCCTTCATTAACATTAACAGTGAAAATAATAATTTTATCTCGTTTCAAAATAATTTATTAAGATTAAAAGGCGTAACGGCGACCAAACTGAGAACAATTTATTTATACAATTAACAGTGCATCTGCTGTAAAGCTCTGTTTAACTACGCAATATTTCACAAGAAATCCGCAATAGATATCTAGACTTTTTATCAGTATGAAAATAAAAAACCCAAAAATTTTTAATTAGTCATTGATAAGAAAAAGTAGAGGGAAAAACACGAGATATTATGCAATATTCACTTAGTACTTTTCAGTGAAAGAATTTAAAAAATTTCAAAGTACAACATAAATAATTTTAGATTTAGTCTGATATTAAATATTAAAAATATAGAAAAATAAGTATCTTTCCTAATAAAACTTTAAACAAATTTTTACCTATAAGCTTGTTTATCCTCGTTATTAAAGTGTTCAGTGAAACTAGAATTGCATGGACGCAGTATATACTATATATAATTATAATTCGAGGCTCAAACTACACTGGAGTCTACCAGCCTGCAGCCAGCTTTATATAAACTCTACTCTCCCGACTCTCCCCCTCCCACCGTACACTACACGGCTACACAAAATCACAAAACCTCACGAGAAGAAAATTTACATTTTATTTTCATTTTATTTATGCCTTATGGTCGAATTTTTTCATGAAAATATGGCAGAGAATATATAATCCAAATGTGTACGGAACCTGGTACACCGTTTTTTATTCCCAGCTTGTTTGCGTACAATATCTGTATGGAACCAGATCAAAACTATAATAGTTTTCAGACTGTGCGTGCCCGTAGAAGGGTTAAAATTCTGATTAAAGGGAGAGACTGGCTAAGCATGGTAGTTGAGCTGAAAGTGCCATATCGTAGAGAAAAACTGTAAGATTTATTTGATACCATTGAGACATTTCTACGGTGCACAATTTTTAAATAGTGTTTTAAGTCGTTGGTAATATTTCACCAGAATTTTTTCAGTATACAGAATGGAAAGTTTTTTACAATAATTTAATAACTTTGACAAAACATGTAAAAAATACCATGTTCTAGACTAATTTGCTGTTTACTAACATATTTCTTCAAGAAAATTATCGACGAAAGCCACAGTATGAACCGTAAAATCGATTAAATTTCATTTCCGTGGCTGTTTCTACAATTTATTTCGCAGATTTTTTCCAAAAAATAAAGAAAAACTCCAACAAGCGACCGGCCAAACTGAAAGAATTTTAGAAAACCGAGATTTTAAAATGAATTTTAATAATTTATTTTCAATGATATAAGATCATTATTTTTCTCAACCAGTGTGTATACATGCAACTAGTTAAAGTATTTGTTAAACGTTTTGTTAATGTTTTTTAAGAATTGTAAGGTCGAAAAACTTTCAGCTTAAATATGTTATGTAGCTGGTTGGTATGTAGCTTTAAAACATTATCAAGTAGATGTTGTAGAGGTAAGAGTCGTTAAAGAGGCCTATTCAGCAATTTGGAATCCAGTGTGGTGTTGTTTTGATTTGAATTACAGTTAAGACTTTTAAAAAATAATTTCAAGCATTAATTTGCCAACCAGCTTTTACATGTAAATCGATCGATTCTTGAAACAATATTCACAAAATTCTCATAATGTCCTCGGCATTTCCAAAAAGGGAGCTGGGAGGCCACATTTTGGAAATTCCAGAACTACAATCCTTTCCTCAAACCCAATCCTTTCCATAAAACATTGGCCTTTCCCCTCAGACTTCATTTATAGATTCTTCACGTCGAAAATTTGTTTAGAAAATGTTTAGATATAATATTTTCCGAATATTTCTTCTGCATTTGTAATGTTTGATGTTTATTTCCCTGTATTCTCTAGAACCGCTTCCTTTATCTCAAAACCATACCTTTCCCTTAATCCCCTCTTTTCCACACCCACATCCCTGTCATTCTTTCCTTCCTTTCTTTATTATCTTTTCTTCTCTAGATTAATCTTACTTTCCATAAGCCTTGTCCTTTCCTTTCTAGATTAATCTTGCTACCTTCGTTTCCTTCAAATACATACCTATCTTTCCTCAAAATACATACCTTCCTTTCCTTCAAATACATACCTTCGTTTCCTTCAAATACATACCTTCGTTTCCTTAAAATACATACCTTCCTTTCCTTCAAATACATACCTTCGTTTCCTTAAAATACATACCTTCGTTTCCTTAAAATACATACCTTCCTTTCCTTTAAATACATACCTTCCTTTCCTCAAAATACATATCTTCATTTCCTTCAAATACATATTTTCCTTTTCTTCAAATACATACCTTCGTTTCCTTAAAATACATACCTTCCTTTCCTTCAAATACATACCTTCATTTTCTTCGAATACATCCCTTCCTTTCCTTAAAATAATACTTTCCTTTACACAGATATAAACTTACTTTTGCCTAAGAGCAGACCTTCCTTTAACTTAAATACAATAATTCCATTGTCTCCAATACGCGTCGTTTTTAACCTGAAAGGTCTACCTTCCTTCTGATATGAACCTCTCAAATATATACCTTTCTCATTAAATACATACCTTGTTTCCCTCAGATATATACTACATACAAATATATACCTGCCTTCCATTCAAACCTTTCCCTCAAACACTTTATCTTCCTTTCCCTCACCCTTTTCATCAAAAATATATACCTTTCTTTTTCTCAAAGATATACCTCCCTTTAAACAAATACTTTCATTTCACTGAAATACATATATTCTTCAATTTCAACCTTCCTAGCCCTTAGTGTTGTAATTCCTTTCCCTAAGAAGTAAAAACTAACATCTTTCCCCCGAATAAAGTTTGGTTTACCACCTTACCTAGATTCTTTTTTCCTTCCCTCGACTAACAAATTCTTTTATGCCTATCTAACCTTCTAATTTTGTACGCTTGCACTTCAGATTTCGTAAACAGTTTGATGCTCACAGAGCCAGAAATTTAAAAGAGTATCGTTGAATGAAACTCCCGAGTTTCCATTTCGGGGTCTTAACATTTAAGTAAATTTTAATTTAAGAGATTCGAAAAAAGGAGAATATGAAGAAACTAAATAATATAATATTTCATAACAAAAATATTGATATCTACAAAACACATAACCTCATTCGTGAAACCCCGGTTTTAAAACTGGTTTTTATAACGATACCCTGAGCCCAAAACTTAAGACAGGGTAATTATAAAAACCAGTTTTGAAACCCGGGTTTCATTAATGGGGTTAGGCAGTTTTGTGGATATTAATATTTTTGTTATGAAATATTATTTTATTTAGTTCCTTCATATTTTCCAGTTTTTAGAACCTCTTAAATCAAAATCTACACAAATGTTAAGACCCCAAAAAGGAAACTCGAGAGTTTCGTTCAACAATACTCTTTTAAATTTCGGGCTCTGACTTAAGTTTTGGGCTCTGTGCACTGTGTACGGAATACGCAATAATGTGTTCATTTTGTACGCAAGCCATTAACCGAAATCCAACGTATAAAGTTTCATAATAAGGAACCTAAATTTATGCGCCCCCCCCCCCCATCAAAAACAATATTGGAAGCTTAAAATACAATATTATTTAAATAATGAAAAATTATAACATTATTTTTTACACATTTGAAAATTATTTAGTTTGATTAAATATTTTCAAATATGAATACATATTATATGCATATATTTAAATTATCTATCCAAATTTAAATACATTTAAGTAGTCTGTACAATGTATATTAAACACAGTACAGTGCACACTGTATAACATGTCGATGCACATAAACACAAGATAAAAATCTTGAACAAGAAGCCGACCGTTAAATAAATGGTGTCCGTGTATTACATATTAAGAGTTATAAAATCGAACTATACCAAACTCCTATAGAACAGGGGAACTTAAAACTTTTTTATTATAAACTCAAGATAAGGTTGCATTTTGGGAAAAAACATTTTTTTAAATTATCCCTGTTTTGAACTTAATGAATTAGGCTCAATCCTATAGAGTAAAACCTTTCCAACAGCTCCCGCGTAATTTTTAAAAGGTTGAGTTGGTCGACTTATTTCAAAATTTAGTTCAAAACTTTGAATTGAGTTGGTTGACTCACATTCCAGACAAAGCTGGATTCCCACGCTATTTTTAGTTTGTTGATATCTGTTGTAGAACTTTTAAGAACTAAAAAAAGTAATATTTAGTATTTATTTCAATTTAATATTTTGATTTAATAATATCCACAAGATATTAGATGTGAAAATCTTATTGCTATTTTAGTGTATTGCCTTTTTTACTACTTAAAAGTAGAGCAGGGTTTTAGATGTGATAAGATAAACTTAATACTCACGTTTCTGTTTGATACACAACTAAATCAGTTAAACTTTATCCTCACATGTCTTTATAATGATTAATAATAAACAACTTTTAAATAACTGATTAACTTGCACCAAGAAGACTCAGAAGACTGTAAGAAACCCATTTTATGCGTGAAATGTTTAGTCTTCAAACTTATTTAATTTAGCATACAGAATCTAAATGAATTTTTTGCGTATTTCTTTCCGTTTTGAAATTTGATTCCAACGTATTTTTTATTCACGAGACAGTATGCAGACGAGAATGAAAGGACCGATTCTTAACAAAACTATGATTTTATATTTCGACTTAAAAGTCCTTGAAAGAGAAAGTAAAAAATGAAACCTGTGGTGGAAAAGGAGTTCACTACTGTCCGTCGTCTCATGGTTATATAATCTCGGATCAATTTGTACTCAACTAATTATTTTAAGTACAGGAAGTACAGCGCCGGAAGTTCACTGTATTAAGTACTATGATAAACTGCTGAAGAGCGGGAGCCTGAAGAATAGTAGATCAGGGAGAATAACGACCCCCTCCCCCCTCACAGAAATATCCAGTCTAATCAATTGCATAGGGTCAAAAATATTTTGATGAGATTTATTGATTTATTGAAATTTATTCATCTGATGTATTTGTATAATGTATATTATTCATAATGACAGAAAAAAATCTTGAATTAAGATTTTTTTGTGGTTTTTAATTTTTCAAATTATTATTATTATTATTATCTGGATCGTTAGCGGCTCCAGATATATGAAGAGCGCCTCCAGTCTCAGGTTTAGGCAGCATCTAATATCTTGAATATCCTCTTCTGTATAACTTCTTCTTCTTAACAACTTTATTCAATACAAAATAAATCAACAATAGTACTCTCATTTATAGAATCATAGAGAGAAAAAACTGTCTCATTCTATCTTCGCACCTATTGCTGTAATGAGTTGCTTTTCGCAGAGCTCTCCATTGATTAATGTTTAATCAAAGGTTTAATAAACTGGATAACACTAAACCATGGAAACCATATCAAACTATAAAACAAGCTAAATGTTATTTAAATCATATTGACTATCCAAATTGATAAATCTTGATCTTCCATTCAATCCTTGCATATATCCGATGAAATTATATATCCAACAGATACTCATATTTTATAAATCTTCTTGTAATTCTTCTCAAAACTTTCCAAGAATTATGACGATAAGTCTTGCGATCAATCTTCCAATCTTCAGTTTGTCCTATTCAAGAACAATTCCAGAACATTTTTGTGCCCTCAACCTTATCTGTTAAGTTTCTTTTGTTTGTTTGTTCTCCAGTTTTTTTTCTTTTTTTTCTATTTTCCAGTTTTGTTCTTCTTTTTTTGTTTCCAGTTTTCTTTTTCAATTGCAGCAGTTATACCTATTGTCCAAAGCCCTAATTTTATATTTGTCAGAACACGGCTGATTTTGTTATTATTGATCTCATAAAACCATATACATAGAGAGTAAATGTGATAAGCAATTTCTTATTTATAAATTATAACCTTAGAGTTTTTCAATATATATATTTTTATGTTTTAAACAATTGTTCATTTAAATGTATCTGTATTTTTTCGTTAATAAAAGTTGGAAGATATTCCATTGGGTAGTTCAGGCAAATGGTCTAGTTCTGGAAGCTACAGGATATTAATCTCTTGATGAAATCTGGAGTATTTGTCTCTACTGAACCAATTGGAGAGTAAAGAGTGTCCTCTGATATCTTCAGTGATGATGAGGACTCCGAGGATATCTTGAATATCCTAGTTCTCCTCTGTATCCAGGATATTCCAGTAGGTAGTTCAGACGGGCTGGTACGAGAGGAATTGGTCCAGTTCTAGAAGCTACAGGATATGAATCTCTAAATGAGATCTTCTGACGAGAAATGCTGAACCCGTGTGTTTGTCTCTACTAAACCAGTTGGAGAGTGAAAAGTATCCTCTGATATCTTCATTAATGATGAGGACTACGAGGATATATCTTCTTGTATAATGAGGTCGAAGGAGGCCAGTTTCCTCCTTAGTCTCCTTGGTAGGCATGATAAAGATATATCTATCTGTTGGCTGTATGTTAGCTGTATGCAGTGCAAGCCACCCAGCCTTCCTATACAAACGGGAGATTAAACTCTGAGTCTATAATTCTAGAAAGTTTGGTTGTGTTCTTCAGGTTCTCTACTACGCTCAGAGCGTGTTGAAGGATTTTCCATATGATCATACCCTATATATCATCATACTTTAAATATTACATTGTTATTGTATTTGTTATTGTTATTGTATTTGTTATTGTTATTGTTATTGCTATTGTTATTGTTATTGTTATTGTTATTGTTACTGTTACTGTTATTGTTACTGTTACTGTTACTGTTACTGTTACTGTTACTGTTACTGTTACTGTTACTGTTACTGTTACTGTTACTGTTACTGTTACTGTTACTGTCACTGTTACTGTAATTATTATTATTATTATTATTAATATGATTTTTATTGTTGTTAATGTTGTTATTTTTATTATTATTATTACTTCTGTCACAATCGGAGTAAAACGTTATTAAACTGGGATACAGCTCAGCAAGAATTAAAAATAAAAATGCTTTTTGTAAAACATCACTGTTATTCTTAATTTGTTCATTTGTACTTTTATTTTCATCTTCTTAACCAAGCTAAACGGACACTTATAAACACGTTATTAATGAACGTATTTTATATCGCATATGAATATAATGAATAATATGAATATGTGTAGACAAGTCTAAAGTCTATGAGTACACTTCGCTTTATCTATATCTACGCAGCGTTGTGATTATGATTTATATTATTCAAGTCGTACTTATTTCAAAACTTAAAGTAACTTTACCTTATGATTTGGTCTTTATATCTTTATAGAAAAAAATAATAATGGTATTTGATCTTATTTAATTGAAGTAAAACTTGAAAAGCATAGAATTTTATCAAATATATATTTTTAAGCAAAAAAACTTAATTCAAGGTTGAACTGATAAATGGCCATTCCAACTACTGATTGAAACTAAACATATAACTTCCACAGTACGTTTTATTTTTTAAATCAAAGGGACTGCAAGGATAATTTCAAGTTACGTGGATTTAACAGTTAGGTCCTTTTCCTGCACCAAGCTTTTCGATCACAATTTGTAGAAGAAAAAATTGGCCGGTAGCTAAGATTTCAGAAGAAAAAATTGGCCGGTAGCTTGGATTTTAGAAGATAAAAAATAACTCAGAAAATGTTTAGATTTATAAATCAAGACTGATTAAAAACTGATTTACAACTTATTACACCCTATATTAGTTTATATAGACATTTTGTCTGTTTTAACCTAATAAACATACAGTTGTCGCCTTTTCTCTTTTATACTTTTTGTCGGCATATGCACTTTAAATGTAACTGCAGTCTATTGCTGTGTCTATTGCTTAATTTTAAAGAAATTGTTGAAAAATAAACAAAAACTGAATTGAATTCAAATAGAAGAAACCGAATGCATCTCGCCCTGGTTAGTCCAGGGCATGGAGTGGCCCTCCAAGCAAAGTATGAATCTATGTAAGAAAGTCAGAGGAAAAAAGTTTCTGGAAAAAAACTTGGAAATTAAAAACTGTGGTAAAAAGTCCCAGGACAAAATGTCACTGGAAATGAAGTCCTGAGTTTTAGATTCCTGTGACGTTTTTACCCTTATAACCTTTTATCTAATTAAAAAAGGTAAAAAAAATTTAAAGTATTTAATATGTTTTAATGCAGTCGAAATGTGCAAGTCACTTTTGTAGAGAAACTGCAATTGAAATAATAAGTTTTTAAATCATGAACATTGGTGTTTAATCCATACTTGATCAGACAAAGCTTTTCAGGTACCCTTGTGAATCCTTTGCACAGAAGGTCATTACGCATTACGCTTACAGTCCTTACAGTTACTTTAACAGCTTTGAATTATTTTATTCTCATCCGTCTAGAGGAAAAACTGTTATAAATACCAATTTATTCTAAAACCATTTTGTCTCAATGGAATATTTTACTATAAAAGCAAAACAAGAAAATATGCATTAAATCTATTAACTTTCTTTCTACACGAATACGCATGTATATTGTTCAAAGCCCATAAAAATTTCAAAAATTCACATTTAAAGTTTAAACAATGTTTTATGTTTCTCTTGTACTTTTCTACGATATTTCATCATTTACCTATTTATAGAACCAAGGACACTATAATTCATTTCCCTTTCCCACGAATCACCCTCATCCACCACCCTTTTTACTCTCTGCTCCCCCCCCCCCTAGTGTCAGCAAGCCTCCCATCACGTGCCTCTAATTTAATCTGGACTATTCTAGTTTGGGAATTGATTAGAAAATTTGAAAACATGTTATCAAACTTAGTAATAAATTAACTCAAGTTCAAATATTTTATCTCATGACAAAGGACGAGTCTCGCTTTAGCAAAGTTTGAGGTTTTCCTATTATGACAATTACGTTTTAGTTTGCTGATATACAGGGTTACCCACAAAGGATTAGACAGTAAAGACGACTTGAAACTCTTTAAATTTTATGATTCCGAGGCTAAGTTAAGTCTTCTGCATTGAATATTATTTTGTATGGCTTATTCAATGAGTAAGCAAAGAAAGAAACAAGTTCAGGGTGGAAGTGAATTATAAACAGACAATTCAAATTCTGAACAGTCGTCTCTGAAGTCTCATTCTTTGTGGGTAACTCTGAAACTCTTAAACCTAGCTTTTAGAAAACGTTTATTCTTGATAGAATATTGAAGAAGGGTAGAAAAAAATTAGACAGAACAGAAACAGAAATTTTATCTGGGCCTCCAAAAAATATTTGAAATTTGAAGAAAAATGACAATTCGGATATTTATGTTTGTATTTTTTTTTATAAATAAATATTGATTATTAGCGGATTGATTTGTTATTAATGTAATATTTAAAGCATGATGATATTTATGGTATATGATCCTATACTGGAAAATACTTCAACCCTTTCTCCGGCTCTGAGCGGATTAGAGAACCTGAAACTTGAAAATTTGTTAAAATTTCAATATACATTGAAAGCTGGAACAGCCGTATCCAGACAACAATACCAAATATTAGGACAAGCTGACCCCATGGACCTGATTTTTAAAGGGTTACCAAAACCTGTTAGAATTGCTCCATATGTGATTATGAACTTGTCACACAATCTGAATTTGAAAGAACAGTTCTTAAAGAAAAATAAGGCTGAACTTGAGTTTGAAGGAATGAAAGTAGCACTAAAACTGGGCAACAAACAGCTGGAATTAGTTAAGAGAAGTGTTCCATTAGTCAGAAACTCAACAGTCCCAAGATTTATCAAATCAATGTAGGAAGATAAAATGAAATGAAATAAATTAGAAGATAATACCTCTAGGAGAGCTAATTTTATAGAGAGTAATCAAGTGGGATTTACAGTGGAATAAAAGATGATAATCCCAATGAAAACAACTGCCTAGAT